CCGAGGGCCGGCGCTCCCCATCCCCCTATAGTCTGAAGTGCTCACCCACTCGGGAGACCCTGACATATGCCCAGGCCCAACGGATCGTCGAGGTGGACATTGATGGACGTCTGCATCGTATTAGCATCTATGACCCGCTCAAGATCATCACAGAGGATGAGTTGACCGCCCAGGATATCACCGAATGCAATAGTAACAAGGAAAACAGTGAGCAGCCTCAGTTCCCTGTCAAGTCCAAAAAACCCTCATCCAAGGGCAAGAAGAAGGAGTCCTGCTCCAAGCATGCATCCGGCACTTCCTTCCACCTCCCACAACCCAGCTTCCGCATGGTGGACTCAGGCAGTCAACCAGAAGCACCCCCGCTGCCTGCTGCCTACTACCGCTACATTGAGAAGCCACCTGAAGACCTGGATGCAGAAGTAGAGTACGACATGGATGAGGAGGACCTTGCCTGGCTGGACATGGTAAATGAGAAGCGGCGAGTAGATGGTCACAGTTTGGTGTCGGCAGATACCTTTGAGCTGCTGGTGGACCGTCTTGAGAAGGAGTCATACTTGGAGAGTCGAAGCAGTGGGGCCCAACAGTCACTCATTGACGAAGATGCTTTCTGCTGCGTATGCCTGGATGACGAATGCCACAACAGCAACGTCATTCTCTTCTGTGACATCTGCAACCTGGCTGTACACCAGGAGTGCTATGGCGTCCCTTACATCCCCGAGGGCCAGTGGCTATGCCGCTGCTGCCTACAGTCTCCCTCCCGGCCTGTGGATTGCGTTCTCTGCCCCAACAAGGGTGGCGCCTTCAAACAGACCAGCGATGGGCACTGGGCCCACGTGGTGTGTGCCATCTGGATCCCTGAAGTCTGCTTTGCTAACACCGTGTTCCTGGAGCCTATTGAGGGCATCGACAACATCCCACCTGCCCGCTGGAAACTAACCTGCTATATCTGCAAGCAGAAGGGGCTGGGTGCAGCCATCCAGTGCCATAAGGTGAACTGCTACACGGCCTTCCATGTGACGTGTGCACAGCGGGCTGGGCTCTTCATGAAGATTGAGCCTATGCGTGAGACCAGCCTCAATGGCACCATCTTCACAGTGCGCAAGACCGCCTACTGTGAGGCCCACTCACCGCCAGGTGCTGCCACTGCTAGGAGGAAGGGCGACTCCCCAGGAAGTCTCAGTGAGGCTGGGGACGAAGAAGGGCTGAAGGAGGGCTGTGGGGTGGAGGAAGAGAAGGAAGAGGTAGAAGAGGAGGAGGAAGATGAAGGCCAAGGTGGGGTAGGTGGCCCCCTCAAGGGAGTGTCCAAGAAGAACAAGATGACTTTGAAGCAAAGGATCAAGAAGGAGCCAGAGGAAGTGGGCCGAGACACACCCTCCACTGTCCCCATGGTCACTGTCCCACAGATACCCTCTTACAGGTGAGCCTGCCCAGGAGGGCTCCCTAGGGACTCATGATTTCTTCTCGGGCTTGTGTTGGCCCTGAGCCAGGCTTCTTTCCCCAAGGTTGGTGAATACCTCTTCTCTTCTGTGCTCTCAAATTTAGACTTCTCCTTTAGACCCTGGGCTCACCTGGACTGGTTTGTGGTTTTGATTGTGCCCTTCAAAGCAATGTATTTCCTTTGATTCAAGGTGAGACAGACACTTAAGTTGCTTAGAAACCCAGGTGACAGGATGTCTAAGGTAATATTTTTCAGCAGGGCACAAGTGGCATTTTGGACAGGAGGTAATTCATTATTAGAGCTGTCCCGTACATTTCTTGATGTTTAGCATCCCTGGTCTTCGTCTGTAAGTGCCATTTGCATCCCCTCCCTCATTGCCTGGTCTTTGTGACAACCTCAGATGCTCCCTACTTATGTTTCTAGTAACCTTATGGGGCTAGAACTACTTCCAATTGAGAACCACTGTTTCAAGGGGTCAGTATAGGTACCTGCTGTCCAGAAAGCTCTGTCCTGGGAATGATGGGGACTTTGTGTAAGGGGGTGGTCATGTGGGGAAGATATGCTATGTCTCCTCCTGAGAAGCTTTTAGATTTAGAGGAAAGAAGATCACTCAGCTCTGCTGTGTAACTAAGCCGCCTTGGCCCCCACCGAGTCTGTAGAGAAACCATTGTGCCTGTTTTAAACCATCAGAGAGGTAGCTGGCGCTGTTGGAGGGTTGGGAGCTTGGCAGACAAGCAAGAGACAGGGAAGATTTTCCAGCGGAGGCCCATCTCATTGGTGATGTTCACTAAAAAGACTACAGTGTTAGAGCAGGAAGGAATCTTGGAGATTATTCATCTAACATAGTCCTTGCACCTTCTCCCACACCCCCAGATGAAGAAACTGCGGCCACGGGAGGTAAAGTTGTTCACTCCATTATTCATTCAATGAGATGTTTATTGAGCACTTACTATATGCCAAGTCCTGTTCTAAGGGCTGGAAGGAACCAGGGGTAAAGCGACAGACCCTGGACAAGCTGGCGCTTGTGATGCCTCTAGGTTCTGTTCCTGCTGTCTGTCTCTCTTGGTGTAAGGGATAGGGAGAAAGGAGTACTGGAGGGCAGTGGGGAGTGAGTTGTATGAGGGAAATAGGCAACCAGACTTGTTGGTCTGGAAGGAAGACACAAGAGCTGACAAGATCCAGAGGGAGAGGCTCTTGTGAGCCATGGCTGGAGTTAGATTCAGTCAACTGGAAATGGGCCTTCTAGTCACAGAGCTGTTCTAGGCTCCCCTCCTCCCTTAGGTGAGTGAGTCCATGCTTAGTCTCCATCTGTAGGGTGGTTATGCCCTGGGGCTAGACTTTTTGGTTGTCAGGTCTGCTCTTGTAGGTGGTCTCTTGCAGGGGCCAGCACAGCATGCTGGCTAAGAACCAGACAGACCTGTGTTTGAATCTTGCTTCTGTCACTAACTACCTGTGTGATCTTTGGCAAGTCACTTAACTTCTTTCAGCCTCAGTTTATTTATTTGTAAGTGAAACTACCTCATAGGGTTGTTGGGAGAAGTAGATGAGATAATACAAGTAAAGCAACAGTGCCTGGCAAATAGTAAGCGCTCAATAAATGATGGCTGCTGCTGCTACTGCTGTTTTATTATTATTCTTTTCCCCACCTGCACAAATGCCGTTGGGACCCTCCATGGCCAAGAGGTTGTAGAGGGAGGGGGCTGCCTGCATCTGGGCAGGTGTGCTTGGCATGGGTGTTGGTGGGGGATCTGTCCTTTGGGGAAAGGCCTAGGCCTTGATTTTGTAAGCTTGGCTTTGAGGCAGGAATGTCTGACCATGGAAAGGCACAAGGCCTGGGTGAGCAATGTCTAGCCCAACGTGAACATCCTTCTTAGATTCCACCTTCTTGTTTAGCCACAATTGTCTTCCTTTCAGTGGAGTAAGAGGAAGAGAAGAAGCAGAGGAAACGCCACAGGAGCACTGAGGCCTTGCTTAACCATTTCAGAACACAGATGTTGTAGCAGAGAGATAATGAGTTCAAATCCTGCCCAGCTTCACCATTTTTTAGCAGCGTTAGTGACTTTGACAATGATCCTAAGCTGCCTTTCCATCTTTTGTAACATGGGAATAATGTGACCCACGTTGAAGTTTGGGCATTATGGTAGAGACTGTGGGAGCTCATTAATTCCCTTCCCACTCCTCCCCCGCCACGTGTTATTGGCTTGAACACTGACCTCCAGACTTCTCTTTTGGTGCAGTTTAGCCAGCTAAATTAAAAATTTTTTTAAATTTTCATACAATTTTTAAAGCTTGCTTTCTATTTGCAGTTATTACAAAATACTGGCTATATTCCCTGTGTTGTACAATACATCCTTGAGCCTATCTTACACCCAATAGTTTGTACCTCCCACTCCCCCAGCCCTGTGTTGCCCCCCGCCCCCCTGCCACACACTGGTAACCACTCGTTTGTTCTCTATATCTATGAGTCTGCTTCTTTTATGTTTTATTCACTAGCTTGTTGTATTATTTATTTATTTATTTATTTTGGCCACGCCGCACGGCTTGTGGGATCTTAGTTCCCTGACCAGGGGTTGAACCTGGGCCCTCGCAGTGAAAGCACCGAGTCCTAACCACTGGACCGCCAGGGAATTCCCCTGTTGTCTTTTTTAGATTCCACATATAAGCGTTATCATACAGTACTTATCTTTCTTTGTCTAGCCAGCTGACTTTTCAGATTCTCCATCCTCTTACATCTTTAGATCCATTTTTTTTTTTCATTTGGTTCAAAGTTAGACATTTTTAGGCTACTGAGATTTTTAATGAAAAACCAGAGGTCAGACAACTCCAAAGGGTTGTATTTGGGTTCAGAAGGCAGTAGCCTGCTGTATTCCTACTAATTTTCCTTCCAGCTTGGCTGTGGACTACTCCCTGGTCTGGTGGGACCCTTAACTACAGGGGGCAGGAAATAGTGACCGCTTTGCCCACAGCTTATGCAAGTTCCTGTTCTCTTTTGCTGCCTTTATCAAGAGAAGAGTGGGGGTGTTGGGGCACAGACCTGTGTCTCAGGAGTCCAGGACTATAGGGTCAGGGTTCCTGGGAGAGGGTTCTTTTGGAGGATCAGGACTGCAAGGCAGGAGGTGGAAAATCAAGTGAAATATCCCATGCTGAATCTGAGCTGCTTAACTTTGCTATCCTTTTCAAGGCTTTCTCTGAGGTGAGGCTTTGGCTACTTTATTCTGTCTTCCTCTATAATGTTCAGAAATGAACCAGGGGGTCTGAATAGGAGGCTGTAATCTGGGCTGCCCACTGACCCTGTTTTTCACTTCCCTCTGCCTCTACTCAAGGTTGAACAAGATCTGTAGTGGTCTCTCCTTTCAGAGGAAAAACCAGTTCATGCAGCGGCTTCACAACTACTGGCTGTTGAAGCGGCAGGCACGGAACGGTGTCCCCCTCATACGGCGCCTGCACTCCCACCTGCAGTCCCAAAGGAATGCTGAGCAGGTAGGTGAAGTAGTTATTTGAGGGCAGTGGAGGGAGGTGGAGAGTGACGAAGGAGAGATGGTTGGGGCAACTCTCCCTGAGCCCTCTGCGGGGCCTTTGCCTGTAGCCATCACCTCTCTAGGTGGTCCATCCGAGGAGTGACCTCCAGGACTGTAGAGCTCTTCAGACCAGACAGCAGCCCTTCTAGATGAGAGAGGCTTGGCTTGGAGCAAATTCTAGGGGATAGTGGAAAGCAAGCCCAGCTTTCCCTCAACATGGGGAAAACCCTTTAGATATGGTAGAAAGGAAGAAGTGGGCTGAGTGAGAGTCAGGTGACCATGTTGTATAAGTTAGGAAGGCATACTTTCCTTAAGACACTATACTGCCATCTGCCTAAAAATGTACCATAAAAAGTACACTAACCATCTAGGTTGTAGCACACAGCCTGCCCAGTTGGGGTGATCTTTTAGACATTAGCAACTGGAGTTGCTGCATGTTTAGTGTTTTCCGAGATGGTGGAGGCCTCCTGAGAGACTTTTAAGCAACATATTTAGTTCTCTCTGCCTCTTCACTTGTTCCATTACTTCTGCCTTTAAATATTCCCACACCATTACTCCAGAGACAAGGCAAGCCTTCCCATGACTCTGGTGCCCCCTGTTCTGTCTGATTTTACTTTTGCCTTTTGTAACTGAAGTCCTGAAGGGGAAGTGTATATCCAATCTCTCCTTGAAATGGTCTGCTTGCTCCCCTGTAGCTTCTTCTAGAACATCAGTGACCCCTTCCAGCCCAGCAAGTCTTTCCTCAGATTCTCACCTTATAGACTGTTGGACTGCATTTGACACCACGATCACTTTGTCTTACAGCTTCTCTGTGACACCATTTCCCACCCCCTCTACCCCACTGACTGTACCCTGTGCTGATCCTAATTCTTACCCCTTAATGGTAACACTCCCAGGGGCTCTGTTGCCTCCCTGTTGGCTTGGAGAGCTTGTCCACTCTCGTAGTTGTCAATAACTGTGTAGTAGTAGCTCCAGGTTTCTTGTCTTGTCCCCTCCCTTTTTTCTGCCCTCAGTCCCTCTGGGTCAGAGGAACTATAGATGTCTGTGTAGATGTTATTTCCTGAACTCAGATATTGGAAACTGAATTCATTATCTTCCTTCATCTCCGTAAATGTATTTCCCCATTACTGTTATGGAAGCTTCTTCCTCCTGACCTCAGATGTTGCCCACCTTGGTGTTACTTTTGGCTCTTTCCTCCATAAGGAGCTGCAGTTAATCATCCCCTGATCTGTTTTGGGGGATTTATCAGTATATGGCCCTTTATCTCCATTCCACAGCTACCCTGCTCACCCATGCCCCCTTAATTTAAGCAGTAGCTTTCTAGGTGGTCTCCAGCCTCTAATTCTTTCTTTGCTTTACACCTGGTACTGTCTTACACACTTAACCATTTTCCATCCTGTCATTTCCTTTTCCGGAATAAATTCCCCCTCTCCAGGCAGGCCACGTCCAGGCTTTTTTGCCTGGCATTTGAAGCTTCTTGCCAGCTGGATCCTGGGTCTTCCTTGGCTTTTGTGGTTCTCCAGTTTCTCTGCTCTGGCCAGCCCGTTTTTCTCAACAAGCAAAGAATCACTAATTCTGCCTTCATACTTCTGCTTTGTGGTCCCTTTGGTTCCAAAAGAGGCCTTTCTTACTGCTTTCTTCATCCACATGCATCATTACATGTGAAAGCCTAGTACGATTGCTCGCCCCAGGAATCCCTGACCTAACCCCAATCCACTGAGATCTTCTCTATTTTATGTCCTCTTAGCATTTTATATTCAGTTTATCCAATCAGTTTTTGTTGTCTTTATGCTGCTGTGCCCTTGCGTATCAAACCCTGGGCCTCTTTCTTCCCTCAACTACACTGTAACCACTTTTAGGGCAGGAATCACGTTTTTGGTGGTGGTGGTGGTGGTTTTAAAGTATGTTTAAGTCAGTAAGCACAAGCTCGTAGTAAAAACTTCGCTTTGTTTTCTGGCCAAGTCGAAGCTCTAGGGTGAAATTCTTTCCACCCTGAGGTGTCTATTAGTTTCCTTCTGAAATTCTTTCCAGCCCTGAGGATGCACAGCTGCTCTCTGGTGTCCCTGGGGGTAGGGAGAAGCAGTCCCAGCTCTCACCCCAGCAATGGTTATTGTGCTATAGTGAAGAAACATTGTTATAAGGCTGGGGAAGCACTGGAGGAAAGGTTGCAGAGGGGGTGGAAGGGCTCTCCGGGACCATGGGTCCAGGAAGGGGATGGGGCTCTTACCTGCTGAGGCCCCAGAGGCTTGAGCAGGGAGAGGACTTTGGGCAGGAAGGAGGCCCACAGCTCCTATCCTTTCCCTTCCCTCCTGCAGCGGGAGCAGGATGAGAAGACAAATGCAGTGAAGGAAGAGCTGAAATACTGGCAGAAGCTCCGGCACGACTTGGAGCGGGCACGGCTGCTGATTGAGCTGATTCGGAAAAGAGAAAAGCTCAAGCGGGAGCAGGTGAGGAGGAGCCCCCAGGGCTCTTGTTCAAGATCTTTTTCTCCTACTGTCAGTGTGGCTTCAGGAGACCCAGGAGCCCCTGCCTGATGTCAGCTTTCTTACCTTCCTGCCCAGCACTATGGGCTCCAAGGCCTGCCTACTCTGCGTTGTGTGTGGTGCTGCTGATGGCTTCGAACTTACGGAGTTTAGCTCCTGGTGGCCTCAGGCATAAGCTTAATATCCTATGCCTGGGCCCATCCCTGGAGTTTCTCATTCAGGATATCTGGGGGTGGGGGGCGGGGGGAGCCTGGCCTTATGTTTTGGAGAGCTTCTCAAGCCATTCTTATGGGTATCACCTTTGACCTGGGAGTTTCTGGGGTTTCTCACTTGGCCTTTAAACACTTATAGTCTTGAATCATTTAAATTTTCCAACCTCTGTTCAAAGAGATTCTAAGCCTCTGAGCATGGAGAATGTTGAGGTAGGTAGTGTAGCCTAGGAATTAGGAATATGAGCTGTGGCATCAGGCAGCTTGCGTGTTTTTTTTTTTTTAACATCTTTATTGGAGTATAATTGCTTTACAATGTTGTGTTCGTTTCTGCTGTACAATGAAGTGAATCAGCTATATGTATACCTATATCCCCATATCCCCTCCCTCTTGCTTCTCCCTCCCACCCTCCCTATCCCACCCCACCAGGTGGTCAAAAGCACCGAACTGATCTCCCTGTGCTATGCGGCTGCTTCCCACTAGCTATCTATTTTCCATTTGGTAGTGTATAGAAGTACATGCCACTCTCTCACTTCGTCCCAGCTTGCCCTTCCCCCTCCCGTCCTCAAGTCCATTCTCTACATCTGCATCTTTATTCAGACAGCCTGCATTTATATCCTGGCTCTGCCACTTACTACTTGTATGACATTAAGTTGCTTAATCTCCTTATACCTCGAGTTTCCTTGACTATAAAATGGGGGTAATAATAGAACCCATCTCATAAGGTTGTGAGGATTAGATGACTTAGTGTATATAAAGAGCTTAGAACAGTGCCTGGCACATAATAAGGCTATAGAAGTGTCAGCTGCTATCATCATCATCATTATTGATACTCTTTGCCTCCCTGAAGTGTCTACGGCAGCACTCTGCACATGACAGTGAGCAAAAACTATTAATTGAATGCCAAAACTGTTCTCTCTGGTCCAGGAATAGCAGCTGTTACTCTCATGCTTCAGAGGCCTGGGTTAAAGATGTTCTTTCTTTCTTTCTCCGAACTCTGCTTCACTGTTCAGCCCCAGCACAAGCCCTTCTCTCACGGTCCTGTAGCCCGAGTTTCCACCACTGAGACTGGGCAGCTCTTGCCCTACTTAGCACAGGTGGGCATGGAGGACATCTCAGGACCTTGTCTATGGATTCAAACTGTCTGTGCCGTCCCAGGCCTGGCCCCACAGCTGAGCTTCTCTTCTCATTTCTGGTCCAGAGAAATGTAAGGGAAAAGGAAGCAGAGAGGGGGTGCAGGCAGGCATTTGTTTTGATATAGCCAAGAGTCAGGAACTTCTAGTCTAATACACGGCTTCCCAACCTTTTTACATTAGGGCACACATGGAAAATAACATTTGTATAGCACACTGCTGCAAATATGTCAGGCTACTTGCCGCCCAAGGGGGTGAGCCTCGAGGCCCTGGTCACCCTAGGCTGACCTAGGTGGTCCAAGGGCCAATTAGGTGGGAATTCTGGCCCAAGGGACATTTTATATCATCAGTGTGCCTCTTGGACTAAGTCATACCTAGGTATAAGTCCCGTCTCTGTTTTTTTCTAGCCAGGTGACCTCGGGTTAGTAACTCCTCATCATACTCTTTTCAAACCTCAGATTCCATATTTGTAAAATGGAGATAATTACAGTTTCTCCTTTGAGGTTATTGTGATGATTAACTGAGGTAATATAAGTAGAAAGGCAGTGTGGCATAGTAGTCAAAAGCACACACTGTGAATCCCAATCTGTCCCTTATTAGCTGTGTGACCTTGGGCCAGTCACTTACTTAGTCCTTCCGTGCCTCAGTTTCCTCTTTGTAAAATACCTCATTTGTACCTATTTTGAACATTACTTGGCACTTAGTAAGGACTATAAAGGTATTAACTATTATTACTATAAGTTTTGATATAGCGCTGAATGCATAGGAAATGTTCACAGAGTGGCAGCTGTTGGTATCATTATTTCTAGGCTAAAAGTTCAGTGATAACTCCTCAAATAGTGATCAGCTTAATATCTTGTGAAAATTTGTTTTACACAACTGGAGAAAGTCAAGTTATCAAGCAAAAGTTCGGTGCCTCTTTGCAGGGTGTCCTGATTTCTCCCCACCTCCCCCACAGGTCAAGGTCCAGCAGGCCGCCATGGAACTGGAGCTTATGCCGTTCAATGTTCTGCTGAGGACAACACTGGACTTGCTGCAGGAGAAGGATCCTGCACACATCTTTGCCGAGCCTGTCAACCTGAGTGAGGCACGTTCCCCCCCTACTTCCTGAGCAGTGAGCCCTGCCTGAAATGGAAATAGGGTCTGAGTAGGCTAGGAAGGGGTTGGGCCTCAGGGTGTACAAAACCTGGGGGTGTCTGGCAAGGCTAGTAGACTTGCCCATGGTGAGGGCTCAGCAGGCCAAGGTGAGCCAGGGCCCTGGGGCTGTGAGTGATCCTGGCATGGCCAAGCCAGAAAATGGGGTGGCAAGAGTGCCGCTGAAGGGTGCGCCTGTTTGGCTAGTAAATGGTTGTTGTAATTGTACAGGTTTTATATGTTTAGGTTCCAGATTACCTGGAATTCATATCCAAGCCAATGGATTTTTCTACTATGAGGCGGAAGCTGGAGTCCCACCTGTACGGCACCTTGGAGGAGTTTGAGGAGGACTTTAACCTTATAGTTACCAACTGCATGAAGTATAATGCTAAAGACACAATTTTCCACCGAGCAGCTGTCCGCCTGCGGGACCTGGGAGGGGCCATCCTGCGGCACGCCCGGCGGCAGGCAGAGAACATCGGCTATGACCCCGAGAGGGGCACCCACCTGCCCGAGTCACCCAAATTGGAGGACTTTTACCGCTTCTCCTGGGAAGACGGTGAGAAGCCTGGACGGGCAGGGAGGAGAGGGGCCAGGAGGAGGCGCAGGGATAGAGCCCAGAGAGCCAGGGATCAGGATGGGCCTTGGGGCTATAGGGTGGACTCCAGGAGCAAAGCTGGGGATAGGCACAGGCTGGGGTACATGTGCTTGTGGCTGGAATAGTTCCGAGGGTTAAAGTTAATTCCCTGAGCACTTCTTGAATAGTAGGATAAGGGGAATCAGGTACTAGCTGTCTGTCTGAAACGCTAAAGATTCACCAAGGGTCTTTCTTTCCTGGACTCCCTCTGTGTGGCGTTGGAGCATGGGCAGCAGGGGTGCAGTGCTGGTGTATGTCTGGCCCATTCAGAAGAGTGCAGGTAGAGCATCAGAAAAATGGAATTGCCTCCGTAATTCCCTACTCTGCCTGCCCCTGCTCTCTGCTTCTTGATGGCCGCAGCCAAACAGTCACTCAGGCCGGGGGATTGCCAAGCTGCCTCGTGCCTGCTCCACGGAGCCCATAATCGTGACTGTGAACTGCTTCCTGCAGGTGTTTCCCAGATTCTGACCTTGTCCCTGTGGCTGCTCTCCTGGGAGCAGTGTTGTCAGGGCCAAGGCCCCACAGTGACGCTGCTGGAAGCCACTGGCCCAGGCACTCCAGGAGAATATTTTGCATCCGAAGGAATTGGCCCCTGCCCTTCCCTTTGCCCTGGGCTGGTCAGGTCCTTCAGCCCCTTCTTCTGTCCTCCCTTCTCCCTGGCAGTGGACAACATCCTCATCCCAGAGAACCGGGCCCACTTGTCCCCAGAGGTGCAGCTGAAGGAGCTGCTGGAAAAACTGGACCTGGTGAGTGCCATGCGGTCCAGTGGGGCCCGGACCCGCCGTGTCCGCCTGCTACGCCGGGAGATCAATGCCCTTCGGCAGAAGCTGGCGCAGCCGCCCCCACCGCAGCTGGCATCGCTAAACAAGACTGTGTCCAATGGGGAGCTGCCAGCAGGGCCCCGGGGGGATGTGGCTGTGCTGGAGCAGGCCCCACAGGAGGAGCCAGAAGACGATGGGGACAGAGGTGAGAGACAGTCACGGGCAGGCCGGGGGCTGCGGGCCAGGGTAAGGGAGGGTTAAGCTGAAATCCTGTAGTGGGAACATCCTTCCCCAACTCTAGGTGTGACCCTCGTGGGCAAGCAAAAGCCCTGGGAGGGGTCACACTTTCATGCATACCCAGGGATGATACTCAAAATATTTAACAACACGTAGAGACCAAAATTCATCCGTCAGAGTAGATGTTGGCTGTTATATTGGAGGGGGCTCCTGAGGGCCTCTGATGCAGATATTTAGTTGTTGGATTGTGAATGGGTTCAGCTGGGGCCCAGTAGCTGTTTACTAACTTGTAAAGAAGTATTTCAATATTTTGCACCTGGTATGGCCATATTGCACATACCAGTTAAATATTAGTTCAACTTATACCATCATAGAGAGAGGCTCTTAGAGCAGGTTAGGTTGTGGTGTGGGGGAACAGAAAAGAAAGAAAGACCCTAAGGATGGTCTGGGCTCATGACTTTGACCCCAGCTGACCAAGTCTACAGGCCCATCCCAAGCAGAAAAGCCCAGAACTGCAAAAGACAGCTGGGGGAAGTGGTTCTCAGAGATCCAGGTGCCTTACCTGAGTTGCTTTCCATCCTCTCCACTTCTTTGGGGACAGAATTGTCTCCCTCTTACTAGCCCTTGGATCTGAGCCTGTAGCTCAGGGGGACCTGTCATCCCCACAATCAAGAAGGTTGGGAATTATCTCCAGGGGAAAAGGGGCCAAATTGCAGGGAATGGCCCATTTTATTTTAGGTTGGGGGAGAGCGGGGATGTGGCGGAGAGGTCAGATTTATCATTAGAGGGCTTCGTGTCCATTGTGACCCTTCCCAGCTTCCCATGTGGCAGTCAGCATGCCACTCATATCCATCCCCACTCCTGGGCTAAGGCAGTGCAGAGTCATGCCCAGTGGACCGGCTGCAGTAGCTTCTAGAAGTTTCAAAAAATTTCTAGGCTTCATCTCCCAGAAATTCAGATTAGGGAAATCTGAGCTCTGTTTTTTTTTTTTTTTTTTTTTTTTTTTTGGTACGCGGGCCTCTCACTGCTGTGGCCTCTCCCGTTGCGGAGCACAGGCTCCGGACGTGCAGGCTCAGTGGCCATGGCTCACGGGCCCAGCCGCTCCTCGGTATGTGGGATCCTCCTGGACCGGGGCACGAACCCATGTTCCCCGCATCGGCAGGTGGACTCTCAACCACTGCGCCACCAGGGAAGCCCCGAAAGTGTCATTTTTTAAGGTGGAGGTTGAATAGACATGTTCGGGAACCACTGATTTAACTTCCTTGCTCTCATTTTTTCATATCTGTAAGCTGCTTCTTTCTGCTTGTCCTTCTTGCTTCACTTGTGATATGAAACAAAATACATTGACAGATGGGAAAACACCTGGGTCTAAAGAGAGTTGTAGACCCCTAATCTGTGAGGCTGAGACTTAGCTAATTATTGATTAAGCAGGGGGCTTTGGGCTTTCTTGGGTGTAGGGCAGTGGTTTATAACCCTGACTTCATCAAACTCACCTGGTAAGCTTTAAAAAAAAAAATCCATCGTTAGCTATTTGGTTTCATTTTGTCTGGGGTGGGACCTCAGCATTGGAATTTTTAAGAAACTAAGTACCTCTAATACATAGCCAGGGTTTAGAACTACTAGTGTAGACACAACTTAGTCCTACCTTCTCTTCACCTTAGACCTGAGACGCGTCTCAAACCTTCTAATAGCCTATGCTCTTGGTTCTTAGTTATCCGTGTCATTATCTGGCTTGTAGGGGCAGGCTTTTTCTAAAATGTTCAAGCAGGTTCTCTTTTTCTCTAACAGATGACTCCAAAATGCCTCCCCCACCAACCCTGGAGCCTACTGGGCCTGCGCCTTCCTTGTCTGAGCAAGAATCCCCTCCGGATCCCCCCACTCTGAAACCCATCAATGATAGCAAACCTCCAAGCCGATTCCCAAAGCCAAGAAAAGTGGAAGAAGATGAGCTTTTGGAAAAATCACCTCTGCAGCTAGGGAGCGAGCCCTTGCAACGCCTGCTCAGTGACAATGGCATTAATAGAGTGTCCCTCATGACCCCCAATACATCCCCCGCAGGCGCCCCACTCAGTGGCGTGGGCCGTCGCACATCAGTCCTCTTCAAGAAGGCCAAGAATGGGGTTAAACTACAGAGGAGCCCAGACAGGGCCCTGGAGAACGGCGAGGACCATGGTGCAGTGGGCTCTCCTGCGTCTCCCACCAGCATCGAGGATGAACAGCACTCCCGGAAGCGGCCGAGGAGCAGGAGCTGTAGTGAGAGCGAAGGGGAGAGGTCCCCCCAGCAGGAGGAAGAGACAGGTGACCTCGCCTGTGACTTCTCTCACTACTTCTCATCTGCTTTCCTGCTTTGCCTTGCCAGCTGGCACCTTCCCCAGTCAGCTGCCTCCCTAATGGCCCCTGTGGATGCCAGTAGTAGCACTGAGGGCTCCATAGCGCACAGTTGGGCCTGGTACATGAGTAGTGGCCTGGGGAAATGGGCTTTGAGCAAGTGTTTTGAGAGGGCCAGCTTGTGTCTGGGGCTCTCTTTGGCCCTGAGCAGCATATAAAGCTATATATGATAAAATGGTTCCTACTTTCATTTTAGTTCATTTATTCATCAGATATTTATATCAGGCATTATTGTAGGCACTAAAGTGTAGGGGGAAAAATCAATAAATAAAACAGACAAGTCTCCTCTCTTGTAGGGGAGGTAGACTAAAAGCAAATAAGTAAATTGTATCTCATATTAGAAGCTGTGGAGAAAAGTCCAGCAGGGAAGGGGGGGAGAGGGGATGCTGAGGCGATATTAAAGAGGATGGCCAGGGGAGGCTTTCTGCGTAAAGATCTGAAGGAGCTGAAGGTGTGAGCTCTTTGGGTATCGGGGGAAAAGACGTTTCAAAAAGATGGAGTAGCAAGTGCACAGGCCATGGGGGTGGAAACATGCTTGCATGTCTGAGGAACAGTGAGGGAACCTATGTGGCCACAGCAGTGTGAGCCAAGGGATCATAGGAGATGGGGTCTCAGAAGTAGTAATAGGGGCTTGTCACTAAAGAGTCCTTACTGCATGTCCAACACAAGCTGGTCACTGGGGAGCAGTAAATCAGATTCAGGTCCAAATCTGAGAGTTTACCGTCCAGTGGGGAGACTAGATGGTGTCCTGAGGTGCAGAGATATCCCAGTGCTGGACAGTCTGTGGTTATGTGTCAGGTGACAGCACTGCTAGAGGTTCAGGGAATAGGAACTGGGGGAGTTGGGAAGGCTTCATGAGTAGACAGTGCCTAAGCTGGCCCTGGGGATGAGGACAGCCTAGAAAGGAACAAAGGGCTCAGGCCCAGGTGTGTAGAAACAAGGTCAGAGTCCCTGTGAGGGACAGTTTGGAGAGGGGCTTCCCTCTCCAAAGTGAAGAGGGGCATCAGGAGCCAATGCTGTGGGCAAGGTGGACCTGGACATGCAGGGCCTTCGTCACCAGACAGAGTTGTTTAGTCTTGGTGGTCTATGGAAGGCCAGCTCACTTGGCAGGGAGGGGCCTGCTCTTGGCTTTTGCTCCTCATGTCCTGTTATGTGGTGGCTTTGTGCTGTGTGGTCAGCACATGCTTTTCTCTGCTTTTCTGTATTCCTACCTAATACTTTGTTTCCAGCAGTACCTTCTTTTCCTGTCTGGTCCAAGCTTCCCTGTATTAGGGCAGTAGAGTGTTTATATGGAGTGAAGAGCTTGAGGCAGACTTGAATTCAAATCCCATCTTCTTACTAGCTGTGTATCCTGGGGCATATGAATTAACCTCTGGGGCATATAAATATAACCTCCTGGGGCACATAAATAAACCATATTTCTAATATGGGGCTAATGACACCTTCCTTGTGTGGCTGTAAGGATTGGAAGTAGCCTATATAAAGCACTTGGTATATAGCAGTAGTTGGTAGCAGCTATTGTTGTCATCCTGTCAGTTATATCAGGCACAGCCAAACAGCACTGAGCACTAAAAATGAAAAATCCTGCTGTTGGGAAATAGGTCTAGACATCAGGCTCATCCAACCTGAGAGGGCCCGCTGCTTGGGGGCTAGAATCTGTTTCTCCTCCACCATCCCAGCTACCTGGTACCCAGGAATATTTTTGCACAACTTTAGTGGGGTCTCTTAAAAGCAGGTGTTGATCCTTTATAGATGAGGCACAGTAGGCTTTGGTGATTTAAATTGAGGTCATGATTTTAGAGGCAGAGCCAGGTTAGGGTCCAGATATGTTGGCTCAGACACACCTGCTCTTACAGGTGTGACTTGCCTCACAGTTTTCTGGCTAAGGTATATGTGACTTAGAGCTCTTGGCTCAGCTATCAGACTTGTGGGATTCTGGATGGTGGCTGGGAATTGGATAGATAGAGAGGAGAGTTGAAGCTTTCATGGCAGGTGAGAGTCTTGTCCCTGGGATGACCAGACAGTCTTCATTTGCTTCTGAAGGGCTCCCTGCTGTAAACAGACCTTCCCTCATTCATACTTAATAGCATCCTCCATAAGTAAGAAGGTATTACCTTCACTTCACGAAAGTAGAAGCCAAGGCTTAAAGAGGAAAATAGACCCATATTTCAGAGCCCAGTCTAGAACCCAGGGAATCTGACTCCCCATCATCCCAGGAAGGTCTGGTCTGCCTTAGATCTGCTGAAAAGTAACACCCCACCCCCCCTCCTCAACTTTGACTAGCTCTGCTAGAGATCTCAGGGTGTGGTTGACAGAGTCCTTATCCGGCTCCAACCTCCCCTGACACCATCCCAAAAGAATGAAGCTAGCTATTGCCAGCTGTGTGATGGATAGGGTGTGTGAGTGTTTATCTGAAGAGGCAAGGTGGGTGGGCTTCCCAAGAGGCAGAGGAGACTCCCTGATAATTGAGGCTTGAAATTAGAAGCAGATCCAGGGACTTGTGAACAAGCCAGAGTGAGGAAGTCTTGGTATTTCCCATTGTAGTCAAATAACAGTAACTGGAATGAGCTATGGGCTATTTTCCTTCAAGTAAACCCAGAAGGATGGGAAGGTAAATGCAGTGTCTGTTCACTGCCCTAGCCAACATTTCCTCCAAACCTTTATCAGGTTCTCTCCACCACCCAAGACCCATTTCCCAAGAGGAGGGACCAGCCATCCTCTCCATCCCTCCTTGCTGAGCCCTCCCAAGGTGGCTGTCTCACACTGCAGCATGTGTCAGGGGAGTGGGGTTTCTACACTCAGGCTCACTTTGTGTGTCCTTGGCAGGTGTGACCAACGGCTTTGGAAAACACACTGAAAGCGGGTCTGACTCAGAATGTAGTTTGGGTCTCAGTGGTGGACTGGCATTTGAAGCTTGCAGGTAAGAACACTTGTCCCAAAGCCATGTTTGCAGCTCTGCCACCTCTCCATTTATTTTCCTTTCAGCTGCAGATTGAACCTCTTCCTGCTTATCTCAGTTTTTTTCTTCCCGCACCCATGTTATTTCCTGAAGCCTCTCATCTGTGACTCTGGTAGCTCCTAGGAAACGTTTTGTGACCCTTGACTGTCAGGCCTGATCTGACTAGGGGGGAGGAGTGGTGCTGATGCTTTATGGGGTTTGTAGATCTGAATTTGGCTCCAGAGGGTGGTGACACCCTCTGTATTGCCCAGTGAAGTTAACATTTGAGCCAATCCCCACCCACTCCCTGGCCCATCTAGATAACCCAGTTATAGACATGGTTTCACCCTTTGCCTTTCAGGGCATCATAGCAGTGGTGTAGGAATAAGAAATGGGCAGATAGAAAATTTGGGATTGCCTTTTAGTCTGACAAAGGCCCCAGCTCTTCTACCATCTTTGAGCTGGGAAGGGATGGGTTTCTTTTCCCATTCTTTCACCTGAAGGGAGGATTTCCGAGGCCAGAACCTTCAACTTTCTTCCACAACTAAGAGTTTATTGAATCTCTCTGCTCTGTGTTGTATGCTCTGCAAGACACCAGGGAGTGTGGGACTCTTGGAAATGGGAGACCTCCGGTGCCACAGAAGAAGAATGACTTGTCCTGAAGGCTGACCTCATGGTCCCTCCACATGGCTACTGGATGGATTCTGGGTTCAGAGCAGGGGAGGAGAGGTCCCAGGGCAGCACCAAAATACTATGTGTCTGTGTTTGAAGTGCTTCAAAGGCAGGCTGGGTGTAGGTTCTATTAGGTTCTCACTCTACACTGGTGCTGGGCTCTTGGAGGCCCCCAGATGCCCCCTTGGGCCTGGACTGCTCCCCCGCTGTAGCAGGGCCCAGCTTTCAGTGGCTCCTTAGAGATTTTCTTCCCCACCAAGCCTCAGAAATGTCCTAGCTGTCTCCCTCCATGTTGCAGCTCTAGAGATATAGGAGGAGTGGATGGGAAAACACAGTTACCAGGCATAGAGAAGAGGCAGAGATTTCAAAATCATACAGGATGCTTCTAGCCCGGTCCTGGGTTGGAGTTCCTGACTCCCTTCAAAGATAAGGCGCCTGGAAACCCAGTTCACTGGGGTGGGGTAGGAGTGGGGTTATCAAACTGTCCCCTCTTAGTCCTTGACTAAAGGTAGAAAGTGTTTGGCCCCTCCCTCCACAAAGGGTGCTCTTCTCAGCTGTGAGCCGCAAGGAGCAAGCCAGGCCAGGCTCTGGTTAGCCTGCCCGTTCAGACTGCTTGCGTTTCTGCAGAACATGCCAAAGCCACCAGTTTCTCTGGGGCCCTGCTCAATGTGGGAACAATGCCCTTGGAAGGCGTTTCCTCTTTAGCTCAGTGGTTCTCAGTAGAATTTCGCGGTTTACAACAGGAGATTCAGGACTTCAACTACAGGGATTTTTTTCTTTTTCTTTCTTTTCTTTTTTCCTACATTGTGGGGGTAAGTACATAAAGGAAGATCTTATTAATTAGACTAGAATCATATAATCGCAGAATAAAGAACCTTGAAAGAATTTCTGGTCACTAATCCCATCCCCTTCCCATCCTGTCGCTGGGTTTATCTTTTCTAATGATTTTCTGAGCAGTTTGGAGCTGCACCCTCTTCTTTGGGTCACTCATTCAATTATTAATTAAGCACTTACCTGAGCCAGGTACTGTTCTAAGCCCTGATAAGGTGTCTGTTCTCAAGGAGCTTATCATCTAGAAGGGAGAGATAAATGTTAAGCCAGTAAGCAAAATAATTATAGATGGGGCTGTCTGCTTAGACCTGGGTAACTTAGAGAGAGGGCTGAAATGCAGGCCATGATCGAGTCACTTGTGCGTTTTTCTATGAAACAGGAACATATGGACCTAGTTTTGGTGTTGCATCCTGTCTCATTGAGCTCAACCTTCTCAGAGCTCATCATCTGATAGTATAACGTTGGTAGTTTATAATATTCAAGTGAGACATTAAAATTTACTGCCGTTTATATAATAATATTTACTATGTAACTGCTATTTATTGAATACTTGGTGTGTTCTGTACTGAGTGCTTTCTGTGTATTAATCCATTAAATCCTCACAGCAACACATGGGGAACACAAGCCTCAGAGAGGTTAACTTGCTCAGGGTCGCAGAATGAATGAGTAGCACAGACTGAGGTTCTGAACCCAGGTAGTCTGGCTCCAGAGTTTCTCTCTTAACTACTTGGTTGTGCCCTCCTATGTTGTATTTGGAGATGTCTCCCCAGATCCATGATGTGAACTTGGAGAGGCTTTCCTAAACTACCAGTACCTTACATTTTTATAAGGACTCAGATTCTTTAAGTCCAGTGACAGATTTTTGTAGGGTGCATGGGAACTGAATTCTGAATGTGAACTGGGTGTTGTTTTTTCCCCAACAGGTCCTAATTTTGACTAGCAGGAAGAAAGCTCCCAACCTACTACTAACTGAAGGATTATGATTCATCAGGTTCTCATTGTGCCAGGTTTTCTGTATAAGACCATGATAAAGTCAGTTATGATTCAGTAACGCAGGAGTACCCTACTCTCCAACCAGTCTTAACACTGGCCTCTTCGTATCCCATCAGGGGTTTCTTAAGCATTTTTGCTCTACTGCAGGTTGTTGACTTGTCTTTTAAGCAATTTTTTTTGTTGAAATAATTATATAGCAGTAATACTTTTTAAAGTTTGAATGGGAAAAAACCATAGCCACATCATTCTTGCCCAGAGGCTTCTAACTGTGATTGTACATTAGAATTGCATTGGGAGCAATTTAAAAATACTGATGCCTGGGTGGGTTCCAGTTATACCATTATTCTTGTATTACTGTTCTCATTTTTGCCTATTACCTTCTAGTCTTTGTCTACTATATATTTTTTATCTCTTTGCAGTAGCCATATTTTAAAAAAACCGGTCTGCTTGGTAGTTTAAAAAAATCCATCTCTGTCTAAGAAAAACGTCACACACATAAAGTACAAGTGAGAAGTGGATTGTTTTTCCAACTTAAAAAGTCTTTTCTAATTAAGGAAGTAAGGCATGTCCATTATAGAAAATTTGGGAAAGAGGCAGATTTTTGTACCTCAAAAATAAATTGGTTTCTAGAGAAGCAATGTGAACCAGAGAGTTAAGAATTCTGGGCAGATGTGAGACAGGCCCTCCTCATGGCCAGGCTCCTTAGACTCTGGAAGGATTGACAAGGGCCTGGGTGACCTTCCCTCTGGATGAAATCCACTGTCCCTGGGCAGGGGAGCAGGCCTCTCTTTCCAAGTTCAGTCCTTCCACATGGATGAAATATTTCCTTAAGCCTTGTGGGAACATTCTGGTCAGAAGTATATCATGGGTTAATATGAGTTTTTAGGGGAAGATGAGAAACCATTCTCCTTGAAGGGTTTTTGCAGCTCTGCTCCTAGCAGAGATGGGAGAGCAGGAGTGGATGTGTTACTCATTGAAATTGTTCATTTCGCTCCTCTCTCCCTCCCTGCTCTATATGCAGTGGTCTGACACCCCCCAAACGCAGCCGAGGGAAGCCAGCCCTGTCTCGAGTGCCCTTCCTGGAAGGTGTGAACGGAGACTCTGACTACAGCGGCTCAGGTGAGGAGTGCTGTACAGGTGCATCTTGGGGGACCAGGCCTTCCAGAGAACCAGTTCTGCGGGCTGCAGCCAGACCCTGAGCTCCTCCGAACCTGGGGGCACTGGTCAGGGAAATGGCCCTTCTTCCCAGCTCATTCATACTCCTTTTACTTTTTTTTTAATTCATCTTATTTTGAATAAGTAACACATACCACGGTGACAAAAATCAGAAACGTACAAAAGGGTGCATAATGAAAAGCCAGTTCTCCCCTCCCTAGAATAGCCATCGTTAGCGGTTTCTTTTGTGTCTTTCCAGAAGTGATCCATACGTACACAAACCAAAAACTTGTGTGTATATTTAAAAGAGTGAGCAGAGAAGCCTAACATGCACATTCCTCTAAACTATGCCTTTTTTCAGTTAATAATATATCTTGGAGATTCTTTTGTGCTTTTTATTGGCTGCCTAATGTCCCATTACATAGGTGTGCTATCATTTACTTAGCTGGCCCTCTGCAGATGGACGTTTAGATTGTTTTCGTTTAATTGTCATAGTCAATGTTGCAGTGAGCAACCTTGTACAAAGATCATTTTGTATCCCTGGGGAGTATATCTCTAGATATACTGTATTGCTGTATTGGAGGAAGTATGCATTTGTAATTTTGATAGATATTTCCAGTCTGCCCTCACAGGAGTAATATGATATCCTGTGTCACTGAATTTCACACATAACCCTGTAATTTCATGTGATCCAATGCTTCTACTCCCTACTGGGGTAAAATGGAGACATTCTACTCCAGCAGGTCCAAACAGTAAAACACATGGATCTTATCTCCTCTAACTGAAGGAATAAAGGACAGGGCAGAGCCAAAGGAGAGGACTGGGTGATGCTTAGGTGGAACAGGTGCAGGGCTGGCTGTTCTCTGAGCACACCTCTGTCCAGCACTCCTATGGGGGGTGTGCACCCTGGATGCCTTGTCTTTGAAGCTTCCATCTAACACTCAGCCTTCAGGGCTTCTCTTCCCCTCTTTCCTTTTCCCAACTGCTTTATTTTCCCTTAGCATCAGTTTCTTTTTCATATGTGTGTTGATGAATGCATGCCTGCATGTTTCATTACTGTCTGACTGTCAGTGCCCAGAAGGCAGGGCTTATTTCTAGGTTAATTTGTACAGCATCTAGTGCAAAACTGGGAGCGGATTGGCACGTACTTTGTGCTTCTGGTGGTGACATTTTATTCTTATTTTTAAAACCACGTAATTATTAAAGTGATGCCAAAGGAAATTTAAAAAGGAAACTGACCTTCCACTGTTCCATCACCTTAACACAGTTGTCTTCATTTCTCTATGTTGCCTTCTATTTATTTCAGGCACGTTTTTCACAAAATGCTAATCCAAAACACATGCTCTTTCATATTCTGCTTTTTTCAATGTTATCTTCCAATCAATGCATTATAATTTACTTGTTTCATTGTTAGAATTTGGTTATTTCCAAATTTTAACATTATACATAAGGTAGTGAACCCATATTTTTGTTCAAAAGCCTCTTATTCATTTTAAAAGTTATTTTTCTAAGAACAAATTCCCAGGGAAGTAATTTACTGGAGTAGATTGTTCATACTTTTTTTTTTAACGGCTCTTGAGACTTACTGCCAAATTATATTCTGAAAGGATTAGACTGGTCTGCAATTTCCTCAGCAGTATATGATTGCACCAGTTTCCCCACAGCCTGCCTCTTCAGTAATGGATTTTGTCTTTTTGTTGTTATTGCTATTGATTTAATAGACAGAAAACAAGACCTCATTATCAGGAATACACTTTATAAAAAATTATATATGTAGATGGTAACGTTTCCTTAGGAGCATGATTTCTACTCTGTGGAATTTGGATCTTTTCCTTAGTTGAGTGTGGTCACCTCCCTGTTGCCAGCTTATAGACTGGGGAGGGGAATGGAGGTTCCTCTGTGTATTCAGAGACATTTGTGAAGTACCCATCCATGTGTGCTAATGCATTAGGTGCAGAACAAAGTAAACCGAAGAGATGTGGTGCCCGCCCCAGGCAGGACACCCTGTGTAAGGTTCTGACAAAACAGGCAAGGAAAGAATCTGCAGACCTGCTTGGCTCTGCTGAGTGCTGTGCAGCCAGGTGTCCTGGATAGCCAGGTATGGCCCTGTCAGAAAAGAACTCATTTAGCAAATAGTTTTACTGGGATATCCATCCCAGGCATCTTTTTCCATGAAGCCTCCATCATGAGGCCCACCAGTCAGGGAGGCCCAGAGAGCAGTTTGTGGCTTTGCCAAGATGGATTATAGTCCTTCTTCCTGGTGTCCTGGTGATGAAGCAGTTATATTTTTCCAAGGAACATCAACCTAGAGTTCTAGTTCAGAGGTCAGCAAACTATAACCTGTTGCCTGTTTTTGTAGGGCCCACGAGCTAAGAATGTTTTTTACATTTTCAAATGATTGAAACTCAAGCGAAGAATGACATTTTGTAACACGTGAAAATTACACAAAATTCAGATTTCAGTGTCCAGAAATAAAGTTTTATGGGGATACAGCAGTGCTTGTTCATTTACCAATCGTCTTTGCCTGCTTTCATGCTACAATAGTAGAGTTGAGTAGTTGCAATGGAGACTGCAAAACCTAAAATACTTACTATTTGGCCTTTTAAAGAACAAGTTTGCCGTCTCCTGATCTAGTCTTAAGAACTAAGGAGAGGGTAGGGAAGAGGAAGGGTGGAGGGGATGTTGCTGACTCATTCCTGGGCTGCCCCAGTCAAATGGAGGCCCCGGGCAGGCCTCCTGGGCACCATTCCATGCCCCCTTGGGCACTGTCTCCTCCCCTCCCCCACCCCCAGGCAGAAGCCTCCTGATGCCCTTTGAAGACCGTGGAGACCTGGAGCCCCTGGAGCTGGTGTGGGCCAAGTGCCGAGGTTATCCCTCCTACCCCGCCTTGGTGAGTCTGCCTGATCCTCCTCCCTCCCATGGGTGGTCTGGCCCCTGCCTTGCCTTGGGGGCTTATCTGATTGGATCAAGCCAGGAGAGTGTGATTGGGAGTCAGGGTACCTTTAGCTGCAGAAGGGAGGGAGATTTTATCCCAGCCTGAGTGGGTCACACCAGCTAGACTCCCTGCTTAGGGCACTTAAAATAGGTTAAAGTATGCAGACAGAAGCTAGGGCTCTTAGTGATTTAATAGCATATATTTATTTGCTAAATAAAAAAAAAAAAATCTATTATTCATAAAAGTAAAATGTGCTCATTGTAGAAAATTGTAAAAGCTGTTAATAATGCTTAGGTGTTTTATTAATGTCTGTCATGCTAAGTTCTTGAAATGCTGAGGAAGGTATGGTTATTCTCATTTTGTAGGGGAAAAAACGGAAGATCTGTTTGCTACCATGGTCATCTAGCTATTAAGTGGCAGGGTTGGAATTTGAGCCCAGGGCTCAAAGTGTGTGATGTCAAAGCCTGTGTTCTGAGCCACTGAGTTCAAAATCACCCACAGTGCCATCTATTCAGAGATTACCTCTTGATGTATATCCTCAGCCCTTTTTTTTCTGTTTAATGCATAAATGTGCATAAATGTGAGACCATACTCTGTTTAACCTCCCCTTCACTTAACAGTACACCATGAGCATGCATGTCTTATGCCATTAAACATTCTTCATCGGCAACACTTTGATTACTGCATCATCTTCAGTCGTATGCGTGTACCTTATTTTAACCATTCCCTAGTTGGTCATTTAGATCATTTTGAATTTTTCACTATGATAAACAGCCAGCAGTAAGCATCATTGTAGCTTAACATCTGTGCACATCCATGGTTATTTCTTCACAGTGAAGAAGTCTTAGGAATGCCTTCTTGGGGCATCTATGTAAAATTCTGATGCAGATTGCCAAGTTGCCCCTTAGAACATTAGTTCTGGTTTATACTCCCACCAACAGTAGCTAAAATTTCCATTTTTTCCATAGTAGCAGTAGCTAAAAATTCTAATTTTTACCACCCTGATTGTTATGTCTTAGGGCTCTTTCTATATTAGGGAGGTAGTATCCATCTGGCCCTGAAAATACTGATTCTAACCTTTGAGGCATGTCACAGTCATCTGGGGGAATTTTTTAAACAATGTAGATACTGGGGCCCCATCTCAGAACAACTGTATTAGACTCTCTAAAGCCAGACCAAGGCATGAATATTTTTGTTTCTTTTTTTTAATGAATATTTTTTTAACACTCCCCAGATGATCTATAGTGGGTGTTGAGAACCGCCCTGCCAGCCTATGCGTGCACACAGAGCTCTGAGCCTCTCCCAGCTCATTTTTGTCTATGGCTCTTTTCATAGACAGCAGCCTCTTAAGGTGAAGAGTGCAGGAACTCTGATCCTTTTTGGACAGGTGAGGAAACTGTAGCTCCAAGAGGTTATATGACTTGCTGGAGTCATATTGGAACCCATGCTACCTGCCTCACCCCCTGCTTAGCAGTGGCAGGTGGGAGATCCACATTGTGATCCAGTGCTGAGGAGGTTGGACCTGGGGCTACCTTCACAGGCTCCATGCCCAGCTGTCAGTGAGACCCCTAGCTTAGTTGTTGAAGAATTGATTAAGACTGTGCAGGTTTAGTTTTGTTATTTTTAATCTCACAATACAAAGAAAGCCAGTCTAAAACTAGTCTCTTTTTTTTTTCTTTTTTTAAAATAAATTTATTTATTTATTTTTTGGCTGTGTTGGGTCTTCGTTGCTGTGCACGGGCTTTCTCTAGTTTCAGTGAGCAGGGGCTACTCTTCGTTGGGGTGTGCGAGCTTCTCATTGTCGTGGCTTCTCTTGTTGTGGAGCATGGGCTCTAGCCGCGTGGGCTTCAGTAGTTGTGGCATGTGGGCTCAGTAGTTGGGGCATGTGGGCTCAGTAGTTGTGGCTTGCGGGCTCAGTAGTTGTGGCTCACAGGCTCTAGAGCACAGGCTCAGTAGTTGTGGCGCACGGGCTTAGTTGTTCCACAGCATGTGGGATCTTCCCGGACCAGGGATCGAACCTGTGTCCCCCTGCATTGGCAGGCGGATTCTTAACCACTGCGCCACCAAGGAAGCCCCTCTTTTTTTCCTTTTTAATTATCTTCTTAATCATACATTTTCTTTCGTGATAAAGAAATTCAGCCACCACCTGAAAAAACCTACCACCTGAATACAACCTGTGTTTTTATTTTGGTTTATGCTCTCCCAGTCATTTTCCTCTGCATACTTAAATATGTACTTGCGCATACTGAGGCTCTTGTTCTTTAAAAAAATGTTTTTTGTTTTTCTGTAAAAATTATGTATCTACATTGCAGAAGCTTTGGAAAAAGAGAAAATCAACACAAATCGCAGCATTATGACATCATCTATAAGCATTTTGTATTGTTGCTTCTATTTATCGTTTATATATTATAGCTGTAACAATAGTGTGTGTACACATTTGTTACGTAATGTGTTAAATGTTATCGCAGACTTTATTTCCATGTTGTTTTACATCTGCATGACATTTGAGTGAATGGACCATTATTTATTATTTGGGGATACATTTGCCTCTGTCTTCTTTAAAAAGGGAGGCGAGCTCCCCTTAAGAGGCAGACTTGCCCATCTTGCTTCTGCCCCTTGGGGGACACTTTTCACAGTCTGCCCCACTTTCCAAGCCAGGCACTATCCCCACCGTTGATAATCGAGGAAGTTCAGGAGGGCTTGTCTGGTGGTTCTCATTAGGACCCTTAGCTTCAGTCCCAGGAGGGACAGACAGGCTGGGAGTTAGAGATTTTACCAAATCACACAGCTGGGGGCAGGGTAGTGGTGGTTCTTCTTTAGAGTAAACTCTTAACTAGAGGACCTGCTTTTAGCTGCTTATCTTGAGAAGGATGTAGGGAAGCTGGCAAACACCCAGAAGTAAATAGAGCAATTTATTATTATAAGAGACCCCCTGGGACAGGGTATAGGAATTAAGATTGCTCCATCTCTGGAGAAAGCTGCCTCCTCCATAAGTTTCCAAGTCTCCCTGGCCTTGGTGCACAGAGATTATCAGCCAGCTGCTCTGGAAGCAGGGGCTGTGTAGGAGGCAGTGGGCAGCAGAGGCCCAAGCCTTGTCCAGGCGCCTGGTTTTAGTCCCAGCCAGCTACATCCTTCTGTGCTTGGCGTTCTCCTCTGTCAGCTAATACTTGTCAGCCGACTTCTCAGCATCAGCAAGAGGATGAAATAAGATGATGGGTGAATAATTAGGAGCTTTGGTAACTTTGTCAGTGCTCCACAGAGCTGGAGAATTATTGTTGTGTTGATGCCACCAGGCATTTTGCTGAGCCCTTGCCCTTGTGGAGCCTGCAGCCTCAAGGACTCATTCTTCCAGTGGCCCTTGTTTCCGACCACATCATTCTCCCCTCTTCAGCAACCCTCCACACACAGTCTTTTGCCTTCTCTCTGATTTTACCGTGGAGGTGCTAAAATTGTATCTGGTCTATGCACCAGGAAGGATTATAGTCAGACAGGAAGGTGGTGGGTAACCAGGAGATCTGTTAAGGTAGAACCAAAGGGATGGGCCCTCTGGCCGATTCAGGACCTTATTCACAGCCATGGTGTCTAGGAAGCCCCTGAGATTTTGAAATGAATTGCACAGGTTCTAAAGGGAAATTGGCAGGGGAAAAAATGGCCTCCATTCCTCTCCCCTAAGGGACATTGGGAGGAAGGCGTTTGTCTATCTGGCCTGGACGTCAGAGATACTCCATTCACTTCTGAAAACCCCCCACCCTGGCTTCCCAGTACTTCTCTTTCAGCTCTGGGGCCTGACAGTTGATGGAGCAAGCTCCCTTGTCAGAAGGTCTGATTGGAAAGGGCCAAAGGATTACGACAATACCTGGGCAAACAGTCACAATTTCTGTTTGGGGTACTGAGGGTCATTGGAAGAGGTCAGCCCCTCCATCACTGCATTGTGGGCAGAGCCAATCTCCTGCATAGCTTTGGTGTACGGTGGTTCAGTTGTTAGTCCTACCGCAGGGTGCACTGGTCACCCCGTCCACCCCCTGCTGAATGCTGTCTCCTTTCCTGCTTCCAGATCATCGATCCCAAGATGCCCCGGGAGGGCCTTCTGCACAATGGCGTCCCCATCCCCGTCCCCCCACTGGATGTGCTGAAGCTGGGAGAGCAGAAACAGGCCGAGGCTGGAGAGAAGCTCTTCCTTGTCCTCTTCTTTGACAACAAACGCACCTGGTGAGTGGGTGCTGCTGCTGGGAGGGTGCACCAGGATGCAGGCTGAGGGGCCCAACCAGGTGGCTGTTCTAATGCTGACGTGCCAGAGAGGTACACAGAGGTGCTGTGGACTCGGCCACCCTGCCTCCACCCAGGTGAAGGAGAAGGGTTACCTGTCAGCAGCTGGTCTGCATTTGCCATGTTAACAGTAACCTGGTGTTACCAACAACACTGATTAATGGTGTTAATAGTAACTGAGGGGTATTGCAGATCAGATTCCTTGTGAAACACTCTGAGATGGAGATTTGTATTAGGAGTCATTGGGAAGAGCTGTGAGGGTGAGGCGGCGCAGCACTGGGCAGAGGAAAAAGTTGAACTGCAGTGCACTTGCTGCAGAGGCCTCAGCTCATCCTGTTTGGAGCTCTGGAGCTGGGTGGCTCATTAGAGATGTCAGGGATTGGGGCTGTGCCTTTGTACCCCCATGTCAACCAGTCATTGAATGCTGGCTGCCCCTGGGGAGGGGGGTGACACTGATGGGGGTTGATTCCTGGAGCGGGACTCACTTGAGAGCCTGTAATCTGCCAACACTCCCAGCGGCTGCAGGGAAGCATGGTCTCAGTCCTGGGTGGAGAGTTCTGGGCAGTGCAGGATCCACCACAAGGGGCTTGTCTGCTCATGGCTTACAAACACCAGCAGGAGGATTCTTTCACCTCTGCTTCTGTAGAGTGAGGAGGTAGGACTAGCTAATAGCTATCATTTATTGAGCATTTACTCCATTTCTTTATGCAAATTGCTTTACATGCATGATTTCATTTGGTCCTCATTTAAATCTTCATTAATCCCCTCCCAATCCATTTTGCAGATGAGGAAGCTGAGGCTCAGAAAGCCAAGAATCCATAGCCAGAACTGGGATACAAACCAAGATCTGGCTCCAAAGGCTGGGCTCTTAGCCACATGTTATATTCACTCAGGGACCTTTTAAAAAACACCAGGTGCAGGCCCCACCAGAGATCATTTCTTCGATTCCTGGCGTCAGCTCCACTTCCTAGCTGTAGCTCCCTGACTCCACAAGGCAGGGTGAGGCTCAGAGCCCTCCAGATGACTCAGCTAGTCTCCCTGGGGGCACACGGGCTTCCCTCTGGCAACCGTCTAAGCTGAGTGAGTGTCCTGGGCCCAGCTGCAAAATAAGTCCCTTGGTGGCTTCCTGCCTGTGGCATCCCAGTCTGCCTCCCTCTGCCCTGTCCCCTCCCCCTGGTTTTGCTGGTCCTGGGAAAGTGGGTCCAGAAGAGCCTCCTTTGGGACCCACCATGGTCCAGCCTTCTTACTGTGCTTGTATTTTAGGCAGTGGCTTCCGAGGGACAAAGTCCTGCCCCTGGGTGTGGAAGACACTGTGGACAAGCTCAAGATGCTGGAAGGCCGCAAGACCAGCATCCGCAAGTCAGTGCAGGTGGCCTACGACCGTGCGATGATCCACCTGAGCCGAGTGCGGGGACCCCACTCCTTTGTCACCTCCAGCTACCTGTAAGGGCAGGGCCTGGCCTGCATCTGCCTGCCCTGCTTCCGTCCTGTGGGGCACAGAGAAGCCTCTTCCTGCCCCAGCCAGACGTACGGCTGGCAGCTTGCCCCTCCCATGGCAGGCCAGGGACTGGGCTGTATCCTCCCCAAGGACAAGGCCCCAGTTTGGACTAAACTGCATGGCTCCCCTGGTGGGCCTGCTGTGTGCCAAAAACTCCCACCTGAGCTCCCTCAGGGGCTTGTCCACCGAAGAACCAGTTAGAAATAGAAACAGCTGTGAGGCTTGGGCCCAGCCGAGGAGATAGACCTGGCCCCAGAAAGCAAGAGGTCTTGGGCTTTCTCAAGGGTGTGCCTGGCCCCCTCCAACCCATTCCCAACTAACTACACCTCAGGGTGAGCGAGGCTCTGACACTGACCCCAGAGGTGCTGTGGATACACTAGGGTCCCGCGGGGAATCTCACGGAGCTCACCCTCTCTCTCCATCACCCGTCCTCATATCTCTTCCCTGTCCCATCTTCTGCACCTCTGCCCAGTCTCTTTTTCCCTTGTTCCTTTCCCGACTTCCTCTTGTGCCAAATTGACAGAAACCATCACCAAACTGATCTTTTTCTTTTTATGGCTCATTCCCTTTGAGGCCAGCTGCTAGCCTACCACTTGGGTGACCCCTTCACCAGCACACCTCCCCACCCCCTTACATGTGCTACAGACAAACAGCTGAGGCCAGCCTGTGAGAGCTTGCCTGCTTAGATTGAGGCAGGGTCCCTCCAGCCCTCTTCTGTCTTGCAGAGAGGTTGGATGGGCTCCTGTCAGCAGACCAGGCTGCTTGTGCCAGTGTCCATCTGTCCACGTGGATTCCGAGGGTTGTTGGGTGAAGCTGTGCCCTTTGGCTGGGTCTGCCCTTTCATTCCTCCTAGTGTCTCCTCGTGGGCTTTTCCTTTTCTGCACCTGCAGCCTGTAGCCTCTCTCTCTACCACTAGGGATGGCGTGGGGCCTGCAGTCCACCATCTTCCTGTCCTGCGCTCTGCCCTGCCCAGCCTCTGCTGCTCTGAACTCCAGGGAACACGGTCTTTTATTTCAAACCCTCTGTCCCTTTCCCTCTTTTCCTTCAACCCCCTCTCCACCTTTACCTTCTCAAAAACAGAAGGGAAAAAAAACTGTGAAACGGGAATGCTGACTGACAAACCAACACAACTTTCAGAGGCTTCGATGTCTGTTCTCTGGATGTTTCTTTTCACCTCTTAAGCACCAAAGTTGCAGGGCCAGGTTGCAGGCCACTGATTGCCATGTTGATTTTTAACCTGACGTTCTTTTTAATTGTTTTAAATTTTTCATAGGGGAGTTTTGGACAAAACAAAGTCACTGGGGAGATCACTGCCATTTTTACACACTTTTTAAAAATACAACCAACCAACCGCCACGACTTCTTATACGTTTGGGACATGAGCCAGAGTTTAAAAGGGAACCAACAAAACTCTCTATAACATAAAGGATGGGGTTTTGGATTTTGTACAATAATAAAACTACAATACAGCCTATGGCTAGGGAAGGACATAGTGTATATAATTGTAAAATACTGTTCTAAATTATTCAGGCCTATAGTTTCCATTACTGGAGTCCTCCATTGTGTGGCTGAGTATTTTAAATGCACACAGTGTGGTTTATTTAAAGGAGCCAATGCGTCCCCCCTCCCCAGGTAGTTGGTCGGCTGTGGACTATGTGACCTTCGTCTCAACCTGTGTTGTAAGATCTCGGGGCTTTCTCTCTCTCTCTTTCTGTGTCTGTCTCTTTCTTCCCCCCAATACTTTCTCTTTCTTAGTCTCTTTCTCCCTTTTTTTTTCAGTCTCTTTGAATCCTTCAGTCTCTCTCTGAGTCTCATTTTTAAAACTGCTCTTTTAGAACGGGAAACGGCTCAGATCCTGCTGTGGCATGGGGCCTATGTGTCTCAGTCGCGTCTGCTGTGAAGCACACGATGCTCTATTTATTGTAGAAAGTGACTTTATTTGCTTTCTAGAATTGTTTATAACAGATGGTATAAGAGAGGTAATAAACAGAGAAAAATCTATGCTTGTAAAGAATACAAAAGTTAATTTTACCTACTGTAATATGACTGTCTTAAACTTATTTTCTCTCTGAGAAATAAATGTTCTAATGGGCAGCAGTTGCTGTGTGTGTTTGATGTCGTCAGTGGGGCCTGCCCTTCTCCTAATTTCTGCAGCCCTCCCCCTCTTCAAGACACCAGGGCCTATTAAGAATGGGGTTGTCTAGCTGTTGCAGACTCCCAGCTGGACAGGGCTCTGTCTCTCTGTCTGTCTGCCTGCCTGTCTGTCTCTTGGACCCCTGGGAGGGGTGCAAGAATGATTTCTGACGTTTTGCTCCCCAACAGCACTGCCTTTTGGGAGTTGTGGAAGGTCCAGCCTACTTCCCACGCCTTGGCTGCTCTGTAGCCCCATTCCTTTAGGAGCATCTGCTCCTTGTTCAGTGGGAGAAGTGGCCCTTTGGACATCTCGGGCACCTGTTCACCAAGCTTGCAGAATTGGAGTGTCTAGGCTGCTCCCACGTCCTTTGACATTATTACCGTCTGCATTCTATAGAGAGGGAGGGAGCCGGGACAGAGAGTCAGAACATGAGCCTGACTCCTTTTAGAGCTGGAAGCGAGCCTTTAACTTACCTGGTCTTCATTTTGCAGATGTGGAAACAGACCAGCAAGATTAAAAAACTTGGCCAAGGTCAGCCAGCCAAGAAATGGTGGCAGAATTGTGGGACGACGATCTGGCCAAGGCTTTTTTTGCGGGCTCCATAGCATTTCAAGGCTATGCTGGCCTGTTCTGTACCTCCCTCCCCTCTCTGTGGCTCTGGCTCCAACATTTCTGGAAAGGGATATCTTGAGCAGAAGCAGGAGTATTCCCTGGGACAAACTGGTTGTTGGGCTTAGGATAGCTTTTCCTTGACCCATCCTCTCTGGTTCTGCCTGGCTCCTGTGCTTGGCTGGGAGTTATGTATTTCAGTGTGTGGCTGGAGGACACAGGAGTCTCCTGATCACCTCCACAGGGCCTTTGAAATTCTTATCATTGAAGTCACTGAAGTGTAAAGGCTGTCAATCTGGTATACCATTAACAAAGTATCTCTAATGTACTGATAGTCCTTATACTATGTGTTAGAGTGCAAAGCTACACACTCCTAATCCCACAAAGCTAACAACCTGATTTTATAAGACACATTGCCGACAACTCTGAAAAAGCTTCCAGAAGAATGAAGCAATTAATTCAAGTGGGGTTAAAAATACCTATATATGAATTTATATTTTGAATTACAAAAGCAATTTAGAGCGAAATTACAAGCTCACCCTATAGAACATTTTGCAAATAAAGGAAAAATGACCAGATGAGTAGGATTTTAGTAGAGGAGGATAAAAAGAAGTCATTGTAAATAGATGAAGCAGCTTAAACAAAGGGCAGCCTCTGGGAGGTATGGTGTGTATTCCAACCCCAGTGACCAACTGCCATCCCCTTTGACTGGAAACAATTTAGGGAGTGAGGTAGCGTGTTGGGATTAACAGCCCTGTCACTCACTTGCTGTGTGACCTCAAGCATGGTACTGGACCTCTCTGAGCCTCTCTCAGACTGATTTAATAGAGGACCCCAAAGCCAGGGTGAGGCATTAGTACATGGTAGGTGGCAGCATCTATTGAAGGATTTGAATAGGGAAGAAACTTGATTGCAGCTTGGCAACTAATTAGACATCAGAGTCAAAAAGGAGTGTTATGGCAGTGTCACTGTATGGCTGGAGGGACCAGCAGTGGGTTTGCGTGTGAGGAGGGAGGAAGAGTTTAGTTTCTGATGAGTTTATGTTGCCTACAGGACATCTGAGAAAAAACCCCAGCAAGCAGATGGAACTGGACCTGGAGTTCCAGAGGAAGGTAGGAGCAGATGACAGAAATGTGGAGCCACTGAAGCCCATCAGTGTAGTTAGGAGAATGGCCAAGGGGAGAGAGGGGGAAGGGCAGAGCTGAGGAAAGCCCCTTATGTTTAGAGGATGGGGCTGGGGGACAGAGGATGGAGACAGCACCTTCAGAGGTATCTGGTCCCCAGGGAGGGCCTGACACAATGTCAAGCCCTAAGGATCATCTAGCCACCAACCCACCCCCCCCACCAACTCATTTCACACAGAGTGGCAGGTCAGGTGTGCTCAGCATCACAGAGCAGGAAGAGGCAGTGCTGGATCAGAATCCAGAACCCAGCACTTTCTACTCTCTCCATACCCACATATTCAGAGCCCTAGAAGTGAGTAGACGTTTCCTTAATTAATTTTATCACTGCTGTTATTCAAATTCATGGCCTCAAGTCTGAAATATGATACTGGAGCATGTGGAGGCACTCTGACCAGGAAAAGAAAATCTCACTTTCCTAGCAAGTTAAAAAATATCATTAAAAGCATTTGCCAAAACCCTGGTGAGCTTGGCCACTTTCATTAATGTAATAGTTGCCATTAACACTTGAGTGTGAATTTGCTTTTCAGATAGACTCTTCTGACCTGGCCAGGCTGTGAGCTCTGAGAGAAGAGGGGGTGAATGGTAAGACTGCTAGACTCTGGGACAGGTGCTGAAGGGAGATTGAGTATGGGAGCCTTGTCTGCCCCTGGCTCTGCAGGCTCTCCACGGTATCTGTAGGGCAAGGAGTGTGAACATCTGGTCCTGCCAACTGCAGCCAGTCTGGCCTTTACCAGGAACAAAGGAAGGAGGTCTTTGAAGGAGGAAAATAGTTTCTTCAAAAGGTGGGGAAGAAGTTTCTGCCTGACTGTGTGGTGGACAAGAGGGGCCAGGGAGGTGTGTGTCTGGGCCAGAGCTGGAGGGGAACTCTGACTTGACCTTGGCACTTGGGGGTTCCCTTCTGCTTATCCTTTCCCTTAAAGGGTGGAAAGAAAAAGATAAAGATGTATTTGTATTTACTTATATTTTGCATGCTATATTATATATTATATATATATTGCAATATAATTACATACATGTTAGTA